ATTAAAATTATTATTATTATTTTTTTTTTAACTAGTCAATGATAATAATATGATCATTTATTTAACGAAAAGTTTTATTATTTAAAATTAATGTTTTTTTTTTTTTTTTTTAATTAAAAAGGTGGAGTGATAATAATAATAATAATGTGATATATTTTCTGCATTGATTAGAAATTACGTTGTTTGTTCGTTATAGATATTATAATTATTCTGAATAAACAATAATAGTAATTTAAAAAATTTTAAAAATATATAAATAAATATTAGCAATAATTAATTTTTAAAGAAATACTTTTTTTTTATATTTATTTTCTATTATTATTATTATTATTATTATTTTATTACTTGCTTATCTTACACTTATATTAATTAATAAATTATTTTTTGGTTGTCATTAATTGATTGTGACTTTTATTTAATTTTTAAAAAAATAATTAAAAATGTTTTAAATTTCCATATTTTGATTTTTTTTAAAAAATAAATTATATCAATTTACTTAATATATTTACATAAATTTATTAATGATTGATTGATTGATTGATTTATAACTAATCGGTTATTATTATTTTAATGGGTTGTAATTTATTATTATTATATTGATAATGATTTTATTATTATTATGTAATTCTTTTCCGCGATTTGTTTTTTAGAGGGAGGGGAGGGAAAAAAATTAATTTTAAAATTACTTATTAATTAATAAAATTTATTAATTTGAATCGGATAAATAATTTATAATAATTAAAAATAAAAATAAAGTCAGTTTATTTGTTTATAATTTTAGGCGGGAAAATATTCGCGCCTAATTTGTTTACAAACTTCTGCCACCTTAATAATTGACGTGGCGGTATCAACACTTATAAAGTGTCTGCTTATAAGTAACCTTGTAAAGGTCGTGTGATTTATTCAATTTTCAAGTTTATTTCAGTTAATTTTCAAGTTATTTTTTAACAAATAATAATGTTTGTAAAAAGTCTTAAAGGTAGAAACGTTTATTTTATTCAAAAATGTATTAAAAATTTTAGCACAACATCTAAAGTAAGTTAAATTCATATTGTAAAAAATTTTTTTTCCCCCCAATTTTTTTTTTTTTCTTTTATTCGTTGCACGTATTAAATGTGGTGAGATAGTTAATTATTTTATTATTATTTTTGTAATTAGAACAATGTAAACGTTCAAGTTTCTGGAGCGGCAGGTGGAATCGGCCAACCTCTTTCTTTGCTTTTAAAACAATCTCCACTTGTCAGTAATTTAAGTTTATATGATGTTGTTAATACACCTGGAGTAGCTGCTGATCTTTCTCACATTGAAACTAAAAGTGCTGTTAAAGGTTTCGTGGGTTTCAACGAACTCAGGGTATTTGAATTAAACATTTTAAATATTATTTTAATTTTTTTAATTATCTAACCCTATTAATATACAGTATATATTTATTGAAGGATTCGCTAAAAGGAGCCGACATTGTTCTCATACCTGCTGGGGTTCCTAGAAAACCTGGAATGACCAGAGATGATTTATTTAATACAAATGCTTCAATCGTTCGAGACTTAGTAAAAGCAGTTGCAGAAGTTTGTCCGAAAGCCTTAGTCGGAATTATATCAAATCCAGTAAGTTAAAATATTTTAATATAATTAAAAATAAATAAAAATTTTTAGTTCTTAATTCGATTAAAAATAATAAAATTAATAAAAAATTTTATGTAACAAACAAGTTTTATATGTCAAGGGCAAAAATTTAAGCAATTCATTGATTAATTTTATACACAATGTTAAAAATAGAATTGATAATTTTGTATATTCACACTTGTTTTTTACAAATTAAATTTAAATTAATTTATATAATTGTTTTTTATTAAGAGTTCTCATTTATGATTTTAGGTAAATAGTACAGTTCCAATTGCTGCTGAAGTATTAAAAAAAGCAGGAGTATATGATCCCAACAGGTTATTCGGTATTTCAACATTGGATATTGTTAGAGCAAACACATTTGTTGCTGAAGCAGCTAATTTAGATCCCAAAGATGTAAATGTGCCTGTAATAGGTGGACATTCTGGTGTTACAATTATTCCTCTAATAAGTCAATGCAAGCCCTGTGTATCATTTCCTGAAGATAAAGTTAGTGCACTGACACACAGAATACAGGAGGCTGGTACCGAGGTGGGAAAAAAATTTTAAGAAATGTTTTTTTTTTTTGAATCAAGATGAAAAATTATAATAATTATTTATTTATTTTTGTTTAAAGGTTGTCAAAGCTAAAGCTGGTACCGGATCTGCAACATTATCGATGGCATATGCCGGAGCCAGATTTGCTTTTGCTCTTTGCAGAGCATTAAAAGGAGAAGATAACGTAGTGGAATGTGCTTATGTTGAATCAAACGTTACAAAAACGAAATATTTTGCCACGCCACTTCTCCTCGGAGTAAATAATCTTTTATACACTTATAAAATCCAATTATTTATTTTTTTATCTGTGTTTTTTAACATCCGCCATTTTCTTTTTTTTTTTTTTTTAGCCGAACGGTATCAAAAAGAATTTGGGATTGGGGACGCTTAATTCATTCGAACAAAAATTACTCGAAAAAGCTTTTCCCGAATTAGAAGCCAACATTAAAAAGGGAGAAGATTTTGTACAAAATTCAAATTAATTCATAATCATTGGTAAAAAAAAAAAAAAAAATGAAAATATTTATTGGAAATCAGTATCATATTAAATCTTCCCAGACGTGAACACAACAAATTTTTTGCTTAAAGTAAAAAGCGGGGGGCGGGGGGGGGGGAAGAAAAAAGAAAATCTTCGATAATTAAGAGGATATTTTATTATAAAACTTTTTACGTTTTAATCGCGGTGGTCGTTCATTTAAAAAAAAAAAAATTTTGTACGCTTAATAGCATTTATTATTCAGTTTGTTTACGCAAGAAAATTTATTATTATTATTATTATTATTATTATTATTACGTATTCAATTTATGTGATCGTCATCATATACGAGATAATTTATATATTGTTTTTATTATTTTATTATTATTATTTAATTTTTTCTTGTTTTGTTCGATTTATTATTATGCAACAAAAAACCGTAAAAAAAAAAATAATTAATTTTATCACTTATAATAAATAATAATAATATTAAAATAATAATAATAATTGTAGCGATTTTAAAAGAAAATAAATAATTCAATGTGTGTCTATGTCAATGTGGAATCAGTTGTTGAGTGCCAATTTATTAAAAATTAAAACCAATAAATATTTATTAGGATAATAAAAAAAGAAAATTTTATTTTTATTTATTTTTTTTAAAAATTTCATTATTATTATTATTATAAACTTTTATTAATAATATTTTTTTTTTTAAACAAATTATCAAACGGCTTTCTTATTAACCCGTATTATTATTATTATTAATTAATTAAAAAAAAAAAAGAAAATAATTGGAAAAGTTTTTCACGTTATTAGAAAAATGATAAGAAAATATTAAAAAGTCAAAAAATATTTTTCCGTATTTGACATTAATTTTCTTTTAATTGGAAAATTTTTTTTATTTTCGTTAAAATTATTAAACTTTTCCGTAAAAGGAAAATTTATAAAAAAAATTTATTTGATTATTTATTTATTTATTTTCTTAAAATTTTAAAACTTTTTCTTCTTATATTATTTTTGATTTTATAAAAAAAAAAAAAAATTTTCGGTTTATTTTTCCTATCGAGTTGTTTATTAATAAAATAATTTTCGACGAATTTTCTTTTATTAATTCTTAGTTTCATTAACGAAAGGTTAAATTAATTAATTATTAATAATTAGTGTGTGTGTGCGTGTGCGCGTAAGAAAAATAAATAAATAAATAATGTTATTAAATTATTTGCTACCAATACAAATCGATACGGATTGATAAATGTTTTATTTTAATAACAATTCATTGATTGATTGATATAATTTAATTTATTATTAGTTATATAAATATTAGTAATAAAATAAATAAATAATAATAATAATAATGATAGTTAAATGTATAAAAATTGTTTGTAAAAAGTTTTGGAAATTTTTTTTTTTTTTGTGGTTACTTATTAAGACCTTTGGTAAAAAAGAAAAATTTTCCAAAAAATTAATTTGTTAATATTTTCAATTTCTTAAAAGTTTTTATTTGTTTAAACAAAACAAAAAGGGACGACGATAGGAGGAAATCGTTGAAAATGAAAAATTTTGATGATAATAAAAAAAAAATAAAAAATATGTGGGAAGTTTCTGATTTCAGAGCGCAGCGGCCTTTTCGTCAAATCCAAATAAAAGGCAACAGGTTCTCAAAGAGATTCTTCATTTTCTCGCAGAAGCTTGTAACAAACGTTTCTAAAAGTTGTAAAAGCATCAGCAACAGCAGCAGAAGCAGAAGCAAAAGTAGAAGCACATCACATCGACGTTTAAAACAAGTGAGTATTTAAAAACTTTTATTTAAATTATAAATAATAATAATATCCATGCATGCTACGGTTTTTTTTTTTTTTTTTAATGGGGGGACTTTTGTTAATTTTTTTTTAAAACAATATTTAAACAAATGCAACATCGGATTGGGATTGTGCCTCTTTTTTTAGCGGGGGGAAGAAGGAATTTTTTAAAAAAAATTTTTGATTTTTTTTTTTTCATTTTATTTTCGTTGATGGTTGACCCAGAAGTTGATGATTTTTTTTTTTTTAAATACTGGAAAAGTTTTGGAAAAGAAAAAAATTTGAATGAATAACTTTTGAGTCTGGAATCTGGTTGTTTGTGTTTGTTTTCCTTTTTTAGGTAATGATAAAAATGAATTTTTTTTTTTTTTTGATTTATCGACACTCTTTTTCTTTCTTTTTTTAGATCGAAAATGCAAATCCAATCAGTTGTTTGTATTGCGGCTAGTTTATTGGTGCTTTCTTGCACTCTTCAAACTTCAACCGCTGAAACCGATCAAAGGAAAATGAAAAGCATGGCGGAAGTTCTCCAAATCCTTCAAAATTTGGATAAATATTACACTCAAGCTGCAAGACCTAGGTAAACTCATTCAAAAACTTTTTTTTAACCTTTTTTTTTTTATTCTTTTTGTTTCTGTCGACGGAAATCGTGTCGGGATTCTTTTGAGACGTTACACGATGTAAAAATAATTTTAAATGACGCGTGTTTGTTCAGTATAAAGGTAACCGCAATCACCTTTGATCAGCGGTTTGTTCCCTGTCGGTATTAGTCAGGTATTTCCCTTTGGGAAAACATCACCCAAACTTCTTTGTCGGCAGGTTGTTAGTGTGAATGAAAAAAAATGTAACGTTAATAAAATTTATTCTACAGGTTGTGATAATAAAATGTCGAATTAAAACTGTTGTTGGCCCCACCCACCCTCCTGAAAAAAAATATTTTTGTTTTTTTATTATAATAAGCAGAATGACAAAGGGTGGATTTTCAGATAGGATTTAAAATTATATGGAATTGAACACAAATCCTGACAAAATCACTTAAATATGTTGTTATCGTTGTTGTTGTTGTTGTTGCTGTTCTCTTTGAAGGATTCAAAAAAAAAAAACGGGGGGAGGGGGAGGGAAAAAACTTTGAAGTTTTTTTTTTTTGTTTGGATTTTTCTCTTTGTTCCTTTTCCATATGCCAATTATAATTATCGTCGTTCACGTAAATATTTTTAATAGGCCGAGGGAGGGGGAGGGAGTGCGTAGGTGGTGGGAATAAAAAAAAAAGAAAATTACAAATGACGGACCCCCGAATTTACCAACAAACGGAGCCAATCAAAAAAAAAAGTTTTTTTTGTTTTTGACCTTTGTAATTGTCAAACGTAATATTTGTATTTAAAAAAAAATTTGAGGAGAAGGAGAACGAGGGGTAAGGGTGGAAAATTAAACGGAAAAATATAATAATGAATTTATCAAGTGGGAAGATATGAGTACCCCCCCCCCCCATGAGCAACCCTCCACTCCATAAAAAAAAAAATTAATAAATTTAATTTAATTTTTTTTTTTATCTTTTATCCCCGAAATTTATCTCCAGGTAATTTAAAAGATAAGAGAATTGTTTAATTAATTTTTTTCCCGAAATCCCCCTTCTTCCCTCCTCCTCCCCTCTTCCCACCTCAAACCAAAGAACAAAACGACGTCAAATATATATCATAAAACGATTAAAGGGAAAGGGAGGGTAAAAAAAAAATAATGAAAGATCTTAAACAAACGTTTGAAAAAAACAACTGGAAGATAGAGATGAAAAAAGATAGAAAGATAGATGGATAGATAGAAAGAAAAGAGAGAGAGAGAGAGAGAGATGAATCTTAAAAATTTTTTTTGTTTCGAGAACGTTCCAATTTGAAAATAATGTGAATAATCATATTGGGAAATTGTTAAATGATTGATTCTCTTTTGATCGTTTATTTATTTATTATTTTGAAGGATACACCTGTTATGAATTTACTTGACGATGTAATAATAATAATGATAATAATAATAATAATAATATTAATAATTGAATATTCTGTCAGTTAAAGTAAATCTCATTATATAACATTCCATACATCGGATGGTACATTGAAACCCTTTTTATTTATCAAAAGCGATAGTTATTAAACGCTTTCGTTTGTTTGTTATTGATATTCGACAAACACGTTTGTTTTTTTTTTTTTTTTACTCGACAACAAACAAACAAACGAACGAAACAAAAAAAAAAAAATACGGTGAGGTTGAATCGTTTGCAACGTTTTATAAATTTATACTGACAGATTTTTAAAAAATCATAAAAAAAAAAAAAAAAAATTTCACGCGTCACTTTTAATAATAATTTATATTATTATTATTATTATTATTACAAGATAGTTAACGCCCGTTCTCCCCACCCTTTTTTTTTTTTTTAGAGGGGGTTTTGACCTTTTTTTTTTTTTTTAATTTATTAGAAATGAAAATTTTTGTCTTTTATCCAACGCATTAAAGTAAAAATTTTAAGAATGATTGAATGATTGATTGATTGATTGATTATTTCTTTACGTTATCAAACGCTTATGATTCGATTAAATTATTTGATAAGTGATAAAATGAGGGGTGAAGGAGGCGGGGAAGGGATGAAGGAGAGAGAGAAAAGCGGTATGAAATTATCCACGAGTTGTAACACATTTTTTTTTCAAATTTTTTAATTAATTAATTATTTTTGTTTTATTACTTTTCCCCCCACCATGGAAGGCTGTGGTAGGTGGTGGTGGAGGGTGGGGGTGGGGTGGAAGGGAAGAAGTAAGGTGGAGCATTTTTTGAAAAATTTTATTATTTCTTTTACGGGGGTAGAAATTTTTTTTAATTTTAATTTTAATCTCCGCGTTTAAATAATTTAATATTTTAATTTTTTACATTTGATTAATTTAAATAACGACGTGGAAATAATAAAAAAAAAAAAATTAATAATGATGATAATAATAATAATAATAATAATAATAATAATAATTTCGAATAACTGAAATCTATGAGACTTTTTAAGGGTTTCGTTTTTTTTTTTTTTTACAACAAACGTTAAGAATTTGGTTTTTTCGGTTGGTAACATCGTAAAAAATTTATAGGTACGTTTTTTTTTGGCCTATTTTTTTTCCTTTTTTTCCATTTTTTTCCTTTTTTCCTTTTTTTTTTTTACGAGAATCCATTGGAAAAAATTAAAATAAGAAAAAAAAAAAAATATGTTGGAGTAATCTCGGTTGGACCCACAGATTTTAAATTTAAACGTTAAATCCTTATTTTGATTAATTTCTTACATTTCTCCTCCTCCTCCTCCTCCCCCCGGTTTTCTTCTTCCCTCCCCTCTTTTCTCAAAAAAAAAAAGATTTGGAAGAATAAGAAAGAGAGAGAGAGAGAGAGAAAATGTTAAGAAAGGTAAAACGAATTTTTATTAAAAAAATTTTTTTTTTTTTTAGGTTTCGGTTATCTTTTTTTTTTTTTTGGGGGGGGGGGGGAAATGAATTTTTATATAAATATATTCCCTGGATTTTTTCTCCAGGTTTTTATTTCATTTTCCTTTTTTTTTGGTTGTACAGTTTTAAATGTTTAAAAGAAAAAAGGATAAAAGGAAGAAAAAAATTTTTTTAAAAAAAATCATTACGGTAAAATATATTCGGTCGTAAAAAAAAACGTTCTAGTTGAAAACGGGGGGAGGGGGGGGGAAATATGTCGTAAAACCTTTTTCTTTTTGTCCAGAAGGAAAAATATTCGGTATTTCATTTTTTTCGTTACGATTTTAGTAGTCCTTATTATTTAAGTAAACAAAAAAAAAAAAAAAAAGAAAAATTAACGAATGTAAATGCTAAGAGAGAGAGAAAGAGAGAGAGAGAGAGGGACTAGAAGAAAATTTTTTTTCCAGGAACTGACCCCGAAAAAAAAATGAATTTTTTTCGAAGTAATAATAATTATTAGTTAATTAGAATTTTCCGCTTTTTTTTTAAATTTTATTTTAATATATTTAATGCTGACTCGTATTATTAAAAATGGCGGCCCCCCCATTTTTTCGACACAAAAAAATGAAAATGAAAAGAAGGAATTAGGTTAAATATCATCGTGTTAATAATAATAATAATAATATTTAATTAATTAAGTAATTATTTAATACGTATGTGCACGTTCGCTGCGAAAGGTTTAAAAAAAGGCAGGAACGATGGCGATGGGGGAAGGTGGGGGGGGGGGGGTCGGGAGGGAAGGAAAAGTTGCGTGAAGTATCAAAAAAAAAAAAAAAAAGAAAGAAGAAAATTTTAATATTATTTTTTTTTATATATATAAATTTATTATTAAAAATAAATTTGACGATCTGACTAACTCGGTTCCTTGTGGCAGGTAGTCCATACACGGACATATCTAAAATAAAAGAAGCCGTTCACAAGATTCGACTTCGCGAGCTGGATCGAAATTATTTACAACGAACGAGACCGAGGTCAGTTTTTTTTTTTTTTTTCTTCCTCTCTTTTTTTTCTCTTATATAATTTAATCTTTTAGAGAAAACCTACAAGACCCCCCCCCACACCCACACGTACACCCACACACACACACACACACACACGAGCACGCACACTATACAATTTTTTTTAAAAAAAGTTACAGGCAAAGTGTAAAATGACATGGCGGCAGCCATTTTTTAATAACGTACACGCGAAATAAACGATTAAAAGTTTTAAGTTGGAAAAAAAAAAAAAACACCGCGAAATTTTCTTTCTAAATACACGTCACAATTTTTTTTTTAATTTATAAAATTAATTTTCTACTTTGAAATGTGGTCGATGGAAACGATGATGAAAAAACCTTTTTTAAGTTTTGATTGATAACTCGCGGTGACAATTTTTTTTTTTTTTTTTTGGAAAACAACCGGAGAAAAAGTTTTGAAACATTCGATATATCGAAATAATATTCGAGTTTTATAAATTTTTCAAGTAATTATTACTGATAGGAAAAAAATCTACGTCAAACTTTTCGGTATGTTAAATTAATTAGTTATGACGTCATTAAGTAAAATTTCACGCTTTGCCTGTAAGAAAGAAGGAGAGGGAAAACAAATCAATCGTTTGTTTCATAACAAATTAACCCATTCAAAACCGTTAATTTCAATTATTATTATTATTATTATTATTATTATTATTATTATGTATTTATTTATTAATTAGTTAGTTGAAATATTAATTATTGTTGTTGTTGTAATTATCGTTTTGTAGTATTTAAAAAAAAAAAAATGAAAATGTTTTCTTCTTTTCTACTACAACGTACCGTACCACCACTACTTATTATTATTATTATTTAAAACCGAAAAAAAACAGCATGTCACGTCACACACACATTTTTAAATTACCTTTTTATTATTATTATTATTACTATTATTAATAATGATAATGATAATAGTAATATATAATTAAACTTCACGCAACTTTTAAAAAAAATTTTTTTTTTTTTTCGATTTTTTTCTATTATTGTTATAATTGGCACACATTTATTATTATTATTATCTGTTTTTTAGAATATTAATATTATTATTATTATTAGTGTAATAACTGTGAGTGTTTCTTTATGTTTATCCGATTAATTAACAACAAAATGGAAGACAAGCCGGAAACGGTAAAAAAAAAAAATTTTTTTTATAGCAAAAGGAACAAAAAAAAATTATTTATTCGGTGGTACCTATTATTATTATTATTAGCTGCGGATAAAATCCAGAGTTTTGTTAATTAATAATAATAATAATAATAGTTGATGAGATTAAAAAAAAAATTGGTGGAAAAAAGGGCGGAGGGAGACTTATTATGGTGGGTGTGAAAAAAAAAAATTTTCCAAAATTTGTTTTTTTTTTCCAAGCGTGGACGTCGTTCTTATTTATTTGTGAAAATTTATAATAACTGTTAAGAAGAGAAAGGATACGGAAAAAGGGAGAGAGAGAGAGTAAGAGAGAGAGAGAGAGAGAGTAAGAGAGAGAGAGAGAGAGAGAGATTAAATTTTTAAATAAATAAATTACGGAAAACACAAAAGATTTTGATTTTGATCGATGGATTTTATTAATAAAAAAAAATTTAGATTTTTATGAATTATTATTATTATTATTATTATTATTATTATTATTATTATGAGAAATGTAAAAAAAAACAAAATGGCGTTCGACTCGTGCGTTTATCAAAAGAAAATTTCAAAAACAGAAAATTTAAGCGTTAGAATTAGATAAAATATCATCATTTGTAAATATTATATTAAATTATTTCGTTTGTTAGAAGATGACGGGGTAGCGGCGGGGGTGGTGGTGGTGGGGGGTACAATTTATCACGATTAACCGCCATTTTGAACCGTTGGCAACACCGCCTATTAAAAAAATTTTTTTCGTTCGGGATTAAGGGGGAAAAAAAAAAAAAAATTTCCGATCATCATCGTTTTTTTCTTTGTTTATAGGTTTGGGAAAAGAAATTATGGAGGTTTGGACGAACGACTTATGGTGAGAAATTCTTATCAATTCTTATCAGTACAAGCAAAACAATTTGATAATGATAATAAATTAATTACAGAATCGGGAAGAGGGACCGTTTGAAGATAATCAATTATGGGAACGTTTTGTTAGGTGAAAAATTACTATTTGAACAATGACGTTTGCCGTCGTCGTCGTTATCATCGTCGTCGTCGTCGTTCGTTATCATCGTATAGGCATTTAAACGACGAATATTAATAATAATAATAATAATAATAATGATAATAATTAAAAAATAATTATTGATATTTTTTTTTCTTTTTTTTTTTTGGGGTCATTCGTAGTCGAAAAAACATTTATTTGTTGTTTTGTAGGTAATCAATCAATCAATCAGTCAATCAATATAAATATATATTTATTCAAATTTTTTTTCTTTAATAATTTTATGACGTCACATTTTTCCTGCCACGACGTTTATTCTTTATTATTCCGTTATATGTTTAACTTATCGACTAGATAATAAAATTATTTTACGTTCGATATAATGCTTAAAAAAAAAAATTTCCCGCTCCACCCCCTCACATTTTCTTCGTTCCTCCTTTATATACCCTGCCCGTAATTCCCGCCCTTCTACACTTTTCTAAAATTCATATAAATCAATCTTAAGAAGGAAGGGGAGAAGGAAGAGAGGAGGACAAAAAAATGACGTAAATCATAATGAGAGTTTTAAAAAATTATTAATATTACGTAATTTTTTATTATTTGACAGAAAAGAGAGAGAGTGAGAGAGAGAGAGAGAGATTATTAAGATATTATTGGTATTGACATAATTAATAAAAAAAAGAAAATTTTTAATTAAAAAAAAAAAAGGGGTGTCAGGTGGTGTATGATGACGTGTTAAAAAAATTATTATTATCAGTTTTTCCTTTTTTTTTCCTCTTATCTATTCGATTTTTCCAGTGTTGTCGTTGTTTTAGGAGTAAAAATAAGAAAAAATAATAATAATTAATTAATAGATAATTATTACGTAATTTTTTTTTTACATACGACGTATAAATCCGTGACGCAAAATCTAAGAGAAAAAAAAGTAGAAAATTTTATAATTATTTATTTTTACTTTTTTTATTATTATTATCGTTATTGTTGTTATCATCGCCATATAATCAAACAGTAAATTTTGTTTTGTTTCAATAAATTCGAAAAAATTTCCATAAAAAAGTAAAAAACCCCGTGACGTCATGATCAATCAAAGAAAACTTGATAGTTTTTTATTACACGTATATTAATCTACGTCGTCGTTATAAATTTTTTTCAAACCCTTTCGAAACCTTTTTTTTTTCTTTACCATACTCGACGACACTGGAAAAAAAAGAAAAAAAAGAAAAACATCAAAGGAAAGAAACCGTCGGTTGTTCGTGTTGTTCGTGTTTTTGTTTTTGTTGTTTATTTTGTGTTTGTTTGTTTTTTAAATGTTAAAACGGTGGAAATGGTGTATTATACTCTCTTTTCCCTCCCATTTTCCTTCCCCTTCTCCACCCCTCCCTCACACCGATTCGTCCCCGACACTAACGAATAATAATAATAATAATAATATGAAATTTATTAAAAACGTGTCATTAGCCAAAAAAAAAAATTTA